TTTAATGAAAAGAGGGTTTTATTAATCAAATTGAAAAACTCCTCATGCATATTTAATCAGATTGACGAACTTTCAATATATTTATTGCAACCTTTTTTTTCATTTCGAGAGCGCAGAGATTCAATAGCTTCGAAAACTGATTGGCAGCAGCTGCTTATACAATAATAAGTTAAAGATAATGAATAGCCATTAGGTAAATTCAGTGCCTCATGTTTTTCTAGGGAATCTAATCTGAAAAACAGCAAGGTTGTTATGTCAAATATTCATGAAGTCAACTAAAATGAAACATATATAGGTCAGCATCCCAAGACCCAGCAATTTAACACAAATAAGCCTTTGCCGATGGAATAAGCGCATGTGTCAATAAAACCATCTGAGATGTCAAACATTAGTATATTCTCTTCAGTCAACTCGCTCCTGAATTTACTAATTGCAAGTTGTAATCCAAAAAAAGAGAAAAAAATTACAATAAAGACTTCTTGGGAGTAATGTTCTGACACAGTGGGATCCATACATCGCGATATTGAAAGCCTGGTTGTGAGCCTGACTGAACATTTGCCTCGAATTGTTCGTCATCCTTAGTAGCTAAAATAATGTGTTTTGAACAATCTTCTCAGTTTATAACACAATTCAACAAAAGATTAAATAAGCAATTACATTGCTTTAACTATAGTTACGCCACTTTAAGATACCTAGTATTGTCGAAAACTTACTAGTTTCCGATACATTGGGACGCAAAAACGACAGTTGTACGTACGCTGCCAAACCAGATACGATTGAATTAATCGCTTTCGTAGCGCCTGGTCTTGCGTCGTAATTTTCACAGAACCAACTAAATCAGATGCACTGATAGTAAATGAGAGCCGATTAATACTAACAACCACTGATAAAATATAGAAATTAAAAAGGAAGAGAGATTAATAGGACTATTGCCAATAATTTTTGATAAACTAGTAAAACAATTTATAAAATGGAAAATATACATCAAAAGTTCGGGTAAAACAATAATTTTGTGCAAAACTTCGAGAGCAATAGCACGCTGCCATCCTAGTTTATCGGATTCCAGAAATTTTACAAGCAACGCCAAGAAGATTTCACATTCTGTCACCTGGAACTACTAAATTAATATGCGGGATAATAAATATACATAATGCTTTAAACCGTCACGCAGTCCCGTGCGAAATCTCTTCTTCTCCCACTCCCGACTATAAACTGTAAATACAGTCCTTCGAAAATGGCAAATTTTTGATTTCAACTAAATCAAGATACAAAAATATCATAAACAAACCAATAAATTGTAATAAAGCGTAATCAAAATTACAACGACACGCAAAATTCGCATCGAAATTGGAAAATATACACGTTCAGGTGAACAAGGTATTTGCGATGAAATGGAATCTAATGATACGTGTGTACTTAGTGAACACGGATGTTGCGATGTGATCTAAATCAATAAATTCATATTTTGTATGGAGTAAATTTGGAATTGAGCAAAATCCCAATTTACTACGAACAAAACCAAAAGAGCAAAAACTGATATCATCAAAACAAATGCGATAATAGAAAAATGATGATAAGAATTAAATGAAGCCCAACCTGCATCTGTTTATGGTTCGGTGCGAACAGTTTGATGATTAGAGGACATACTTGGTCTTTCAGCAACTGAGCAAATTCGCAATGCTGAAAAAAAATGAAATTACTGAAAAGACAAAAGAAATACCAAAAAGCTACGTAATGTGCTCAATTTACTTCAAATATTCAAAAAACTTTATCCATAAATAAAACGATATCTTTCAATAAGCGGCATAAAGTAATATAAAAAGAGTGAAGAACCTTGATAAATACAGATGGATAGGAAGAAAGCACAGACTCTAACAATTCTAAACCTAGCGTACGTGTCATTTCCTGAATACCAATCAACCAAAGAGGAGCCTCAGAGCTGATAAGTAAACAAAGGTCCTGAAAAAGAAGATACACAAGTTTCCACTGATAGAGACAGATTAAAAGAATAATTATGATAGTTAAAGACATTTAAAACGTCTTGAAACCGCTACAGTTCAGCACAGTAATATTGTACATGAAATAACCGCTATGTAATTTATACAATAAATAAAGGAAGAAAATGAGAGTAAACACGATAAGAAAAAAGGTGGGAAAGATAAAAAGAGATTAAGAAACAAAAGAAAATAAAAGACAATATTTTAGTCTGATGAATTGTATCGATTCTATCCCTACCATGTTTTCCAAATAATAAAAAAAAATTGGGCTCACATGAAACAACATGTAACCATCTGAAGCACATGGCCTTAATGTCGGTGGTGGAGCTTTCGAATGTACTCGTACAGTCTGATGAACAATTGGCATTTCACAACCTTCCAAACCATCTTCCTTCAAAAAATCACTGATTAAAAATATGGCAGAAAATAATTCTAAATTTTAGTAAATTTTTCTACGTTTGGAGCATTTCTTTTAAACTGTCAACATTTAGCATCTTTCGATAAAAACGAAATATTCCATGTATGGACAGTTTAATCAATATGGAGTATCCGAAACAATATGGTTGCGCACGATAGTACACTGTTCACACGTATTAATATCATAAGTGTGCACTGGACTAATTTCACTGGGCTTATAATATGAAGAAAGAACATCAAATAAGCAGAAAAAAAAGATTCTCAAACTAAACTACCTGGATAACTCGCTCATAAACACAGTTCACCATTTGGCGCACAGTTGCTGATGCTGTGTTTATTACAATTGGATCTTTTGCGAAATTTAAACGGAAGCACATCACCAAGCACTGGAAAAAAAACAAGTAACACAACATAATAACACAATAATTTGCATCAGAATTTCGAAACAATGCTGCATCTGAACAACATCAATGAATTTCACCTTCGCAAGCCATTGTCCAGCGACCAATAATTCAGTGCTGACAAGAGGTGTTAATGTTTGTAAAACTCGTAATTCTTCACATTCCGCTTCCATCAAATGCCAAAGTTCATTAACAATAATGTGAGCAGAAGCCTGAAATAAATATTCACTAGCCAAATATAACTTCTTAAAACTTTTTAAATTTTAGTAGCGACTTCATAAAAATATTATTTAAGCTCCATTTATAACTGCAATTTTCAACAAATTAGATTACCATTCTAATTGCCTTAACGACTGACAGAAATAAAAAAAAAAGTTGTTAAAAAGAATGTTCCAACAAAAACGTTATTCAAATCAATCTTAGCGTAATTAAGAGTTAGCGAAAAAAATAAATGGAACGCTAACGTACGGATTCAATAACTCGATGTTGTACCATCTTTTGAATGGCCTGCAAGGACACCTGAACAAGGCGAGCATTTTTACTTGAACAACCCAAAATAAGCGGCTGCAACAATTCGGCACTAGCACAACGTATATTTGTCAACAAATTTTGCTCATTAGATGCTGCACTAATATTTTTTATTTTCACGAGACCTGATTCAGCTGCCTGCAAAATAGCAAATATAGCAACTGTGAAAATGAAACTGTAAAACCGAAAATTTGAAAGTGATTCGCAAAGTGCGGGATGGTTTTGAAATTCATAATTCTAGTACAACAAAATGCTTCAAATTTCCCACAGCATTCGAGATCGAGATGACGTTCGTAGTAAAAGTGATTTACCCATAGTATAATATGCAGCAAATTCGTACCTCCTTAACTTGTGAATGCTTTTTCCTGGCCTCTGTCGAAAGCGTTCTTAAATCCGATAGCAGATTTTCCACCAATCTTTTTGCTTCCACAGCTGTACCGAATGGTCCACTGTTTGACATTAAAACCTTCAGAAAAAAAAATCTTCACTGACAAATGTGGCTAGTCATCACATACATATCTCATCTTCCAAGAATCAAAACCATAGCTGCTTTTACAGTTTGGAATCAAGCAAAATGAATATTGGAAACCACAGTACACATCGTACGAAATTATCTTAACTTACTTCAGTGACTTCACATAACTCACGAGTGATAATCCGGAATTTATTGAAAAGTTATGGGTATGAATTTTGACAGGAACGGCACGGATGAACAACAAATAATATAGATATCTGTTTCAAAATGGAAGTCAAAATATAAAAACAAATGCAATATCAGATTTAAATATTGAAACAATCGAGATTCAAACCAGAATACACCCTTTTTTGAAGAACAAACTATTTTATTTCTTGTTTCTTGACACGCAAATTGTTTAATGCAATGAAATGCACCACTGAAATATCCACTGACAATTTATAGAAAAAACCAAAAAAAAATTCCACCATAAATATGCATTTTAAAAGTTCTCAACGGAAATTAATGAATTGATTGTAAATGCAACACAATATCATCATCATAATATCAAATAACAAGATACATATACAGAGAAAAAGATAGCAATGATAATCAATTCATTTCATCGCTGATTTTAGAAAACGCAACAAAATTCAGAAAATGAAGAGAATTTATAAAATAAATAAGAGAAACAAGAACAAAGACTGGATGAAAGAGCGAGCAAATCAAAATAAAAGCACTGGACTATTTATTATTCACCGTATTATTTTACCAACTACACTGCGACAAAAACAGAAACAGTTGTAATGACAAGATTATAATCCAGCAATTTGAAGAATGAGTTACACTTGACGAGATGCGTGAGATCTCAAACAAATAACAGACAATGAAAAGCTAGCTGCACCATCATATCGCTAAATTGCTAAAAATCAGCTCATACAAGTACACTATAATTGTTGATTAATTTTTAAAATGTAAAATTTCTAAGCAATGATGAAAGTAACTAAACCATTTTACAGATTTGTTATTAAAATCAGTTAAAATTTTTGACAATTTGCTAACTGAAATGCTTGAAAAGCACACAAGAAACTCTCCTAAAGCGATTATTTTTTAGAAAAATAAAATTCAATAAGGCTGTTTTCATTTCGAAGGTTTATATTGTTCTATCTTTCCCTACATGAATTATGAAAGCACCACGTTAATTCAATTAATAGAATCACTAGAAGGTAAAACGACCGGTTTTGATGCGAGAAGATTAATAACATTATCTGGGACAAGACTGTAAATACTGTCAATAACACCAAAGAATAAATTCACAATCGAAGTCAAGGGTTGTATGAATTCCTGCAATAAAAAGTTACTGGATGCTATAACTGAAAATATAACAGATAACATAAAAGACATGAAAGTCTGAAATTATGGAGGGAGATTATACATAAAATCAAAACTTACCTATGTCGTTGACAGAAATCAGGAACTACTCAAAAAATGCTTAATTGTGTAAGCTAGAAACATATGCTACGATACAATGACAACCAGCAATGGATCCCGCAAAAGTTTATATTTAATGCAAACTATTGTAGGATTCACAATGCATTTTCTTCGATACAATTCATTAATAAACATGAAGACGCAAAAGAATACCTTTGGATACTGATGGGTGACAATGGCCAAAACTATAGTGATGAAGAAAAGCAAAGCTGTAAGTACAGTAAAGAATGGCAAATCACGCTTTGGATACACTGATACTTCATGCCATGCTAAAAAATGTAATATACTAAATGAAAAAATTATTGATTATATTTTTTATGGATATCCCACAATTCCATCTTATCCCATGAATTTCATTTAGAAGAGTCATTTTAACAAAATAATTCTTCTATAGCTAATTTTATACATGTTTGACACACAAAGGAAAGTGTAGAATACATCAATAAATCAATGAAATGAACTTACACGGTAAAAGTTCCCTATCAGCAGATTCCGTGCACGATGGATAAGGATAAAAAAGATGTCCCTTTTCGAGAGGATTTGGCAGCAGTCGAAATGCTGAATAAAGAATAGTTTATTGATAATATATGTACATCCTTTCTCTTATAATCTATTAATATTTTGCAGTCTATGTTGATCATGGAATTTTATCACAATAAACAGTAAAAATAAAACGCACTTCCTTCCCAAGTACATTGTAACAATGAAAGGGCGCCATCAATTCGCTTCCAGTGCTGCAAATGCCAAAACGAATAGGCAATCGCTTCTGAATCTCCACGCTTCAATAAATGTTCTGGAGGTAATATTAGTGGCTTCAGCTCTAACAGATACTTTGCAACATGAGGATTAAATTCAACTGCTCGATGTATCGCATCAACAGCATTCAATTCTGCAGTACTTAGTCCACGGCGCAATACGAAGTCTGGCGTGAACCTTAAACGATAAGTGCCATAACTAATCGAGTTTTCATGTCTAAACAGAAGTCCAATCACAGAAAAAAATACATTATCAAAATCGACCAATACTTGATAGGAAACTGCTATGTTTCCACATACAGTGATAAAATTAAAGTGTCTGATGATAAATTCAGCCCTCTAAGATGTGAAAATAATGAAAACAATGTTACCGTGCAAAAAAAAAAGATTATCAAAAACGAATCTCAGAAAAGTAAAAATGCTGAAACGAGAAATAAGATACTTACTTATCAGCGACAGTTCTCACTTTTAATAAGGCTGATGTGAAACATATAGTAGCAGATTTCGGTAAGCTAATATCTAAAAACAAAACAAGACATTTAATTTATTGTTCAAAAGTACTAAATCAGCAATGTTCATATACAATTAACAATAAATCATCCAGTAATTTCTATAAAAATACTTTTTCGGTAATCTATCACAAAAAGAAATAATCTATAACAAAAAGAAATAGCACATTACCATCATATCGAGCTAGAACAGCCTGAGTGTCAGCATAAGCTTGTTGTTCCAACAGCACTTCAATCAAATTTTCATGAATGTTCATTACATTAAGCATCGGAAATTCTTTGATCAACTATAATAAGTCGTTTAAACAACACAAAAAAATGGTATTGCACATCAAACATCTTTTATAGGCGAGTTTTGATTCATCGTTTATCTTCTCGAAACCAGAAACTACGGTGGACAAGTCCAAACTTTAATTTTTACTTTTTATACGAATTTTAAGAGTAAAAGTGAGGATGAAAAGTGTGGTTAAAACAACTGCACGTCGTGGCTTACATCTCGCATCATTTTGACTGCTTCTCGTAATCGTCCTTGTCGTCGTGCACACATAGCCAGTCGTCGGCGTACGAAAACTAGCAAATTGACATCACGCCCTAGAAATATTCTTCTTGAACGGAAGACCTCTCGTAAGATTTGATTTTCTCCGCATATTCGCGAACATCGGTCGAATAACATCTACCATTAACAAATATAGATACCAAATATTTAAAAAATGGTAGCAAAATAAAGGCGAACGAAGTAAATAACAATGAATTTACTGTGTCCTGGATCCGAAGCTAAATCATAGTGCACTTGTGATTGGAATTTCCGATAATTCGCTTCTGTTACTTTCAACGCTCGCCTGGAACATGATGGAAAGAACAGTACTGCATATATAAATGAGACAAAATCATCACGTTAATCTACTCAACAAGCGATGTGACAACATATCTGTGACAACACTAGCACTTATCAAAACATGAATTAAAGATTCGACATTCTGTTAGTGGTGTCGAGCGAAGCGGCGATATAAGCATCGCTATCAACACAATACATACATAATCCTGTAATTACCAATGGTGGATGCCACAAAAGTCACACGTCGCGTTCAAACTTTTCAGTGAGTCATATGATTAACATTCTAAAAATTTAAGAAACGACAAAACAAATCCCACGAAGAATATAAACTGCACTTAATTTTCCCAAAAAAACTGAAATCTAAAATTTCCAAACATTTTTTATCCTTACCTCAATGTTTGTTCTACGTCGGTAATCGTTTGACATTGTTCCTCTGCTAATAATATTAACGCTGGAGCACATTCAGGGTTGATTTCTAATGCTTTGTATGCTGCATTAATCCGCGAATAACTATCACGCTCTCGCCATGCCACTTGCATTACTAAAAATTTTATTTATTTTTCTTGGAAAAACCGCGTGCTCTGGGCATCTAGGGGCAAGAAACATATCAAATATATAACTTCAGTAAAACTGTACGAATATTGTATCATCTTTAACGACCTACATATTTATACCACTTAAAAAATAGTAATTTTTTAGTTGGTATTTCTTGCAGAAACTCACTTTCGTAGTCTTGTCTTCCCGCATCCGCTTCACATGTAAAAAAATTTTGATGATCCTGAGCTGACAAATTCATATCGTAATATGTAAGCGGTTCTTTTCCTGTCATTTTTGTAAACCTTTGATATTCTGCGCCACGAAATAAGGCAGTTGGATTTCGCCAAACTTTGCACTCTGAAACTTTTGTTGGATGAGGAAGAAGGGAACAATAAAAAATAAAAACAAAATGGATTATAGTAACATAAAGCTTATCATGCCAAGAAAATCACCAGCCTGGTACACTTCGGCTGGCTGATTCAATACCGTCTTCGTTGTCACTGCCATCTTCACTACCCGTACCATTATCACCAGAATTGCTGTAAATTAATGCAGAAACCATTCAATTTTCAAAATATTCAATTACCGCTTAATTCTTGACGCATTCTTATTTATTCATAGCTCTTCAATCTTCAATTCACTTACTTTTTAAAATACCACCATTCGAAAATCAATATAATGCCAGACACCAAGCTCGATGTTCCCGTCAATGCAACGTAAAATTTGGGCGTTAAGTTATTGAAATAGGTGGAAGCTGCAAGCATATGGCGTGGAATAAAAAATTAAGAAAATAAGTCGCGGAAAGAACTGTACATTGTTAAAAAAGTTAAATACCGCTTTCGAGAGATTCAGTGATATGAAGTGGACCACGTAGGATGTACACCAACGCAATTACCAACAAGAACCATAATGCCCACAAATAAGTCCATGACCACGTCACCCACGACCGTAATCGAGTAATCATAGCAACACCCTAAACAAATTTCACGTCTCTAGTTTTACGGAATATGTTTTTTCGGAGAAAAACGAAGATCAAACAGACATAAAAGGACAAAAAAAATTTAAAAAAGGAAACTAATGAAAGGTTAAGCATATTTTTTCAAACATCACTTAATAAAAGTTATGTGACTTATTTGAAATTTTTATCTCTATACACAACAATTTGTGGAACATTTTAGCACTTCAATTATATCTGATTTGTAATGCAAACATTGGCTAAAATGTTAATAATCTTAGTGAAGCCGATAATATGCTAGAAGAAAATATATAAATATTTTTTTTTTATGGGATTGAAAAGCAGTATTATGCATATATCCTAAATCCTTATTAATCAGTCTAGAAAGTATTCATTTGAACTTTAGTCTAAAAAGAATTTTTGTTATTTGACCTACTGATCAACTATTACTGTAATCGACCTATCGTTCAGTGTAATTCATCTCCTGACGATAACATAGATGCTACATGATAATCAAATCTTATGTATAACAAAAATCAAAATATTCCATGTTAATCTCTCCTGTTCACATGTCAGAATAAAAATTTACAACGTTACAGTACTTTTTAGGGTTTCTCAAATTTTTCAGCATATAGTGTCAAACTATAGCATTTCAACGTATATACGCATATATTGATCCATTGCTTTTCGCAGTATTATATATCCACGGAAGAATGAAAACTAAAGAGAGAACCACGTCATCATTATCGCATATTCATTCAATTATTTGTAAATATTCGCAATCTGGCCGTAAACCCAAAGCATACTATACAGGCACACATACTATTTGATCAACAGGATTTCTTCCGAGAATTTCATCATTCTTTGTTACTTCTCTCATATATTGTTGTGAGTGACTAACATCCATTCTATACATATTATTTTCTGATTTTAAGCAATCCCTGAAAACCTCCTAGATTACTCCATTCTCTTCTTTTTTTTTGGTTGTCTTTGCTACTTGACCGCAATGTTAGTTTCGAATTTTGTCGCTCATTGTTTTAGACTAATTCCGGAGTAACTCTCTCATTCTCCATTACTTATCATAAACTGTTGATTGATTTTAAGATAGTTTAAATAAAGTATTAAATATTGATGCAGCAACTGCACTCAGTTTCCAAAAATAGAAAATTACTGCATTCTATGAAACTAAAATTTCAGCTTTCAGTTTCTCAAATTACAATCAGAAGTAACAAAAAATAAATAAAAATTACCTAATGGTAAAATAAATAAAAACTACCTTCTGGTCTTCCATACAACTAATGCCACATTTTTTGATCTAATTGATTGGTTTCATTGAATCTCTTCAAAATTTATATTTTATCCTTTTATCATATCTATGCTATTCTAAATGTAGCATATGGTTAATGCTTCAAATTAACATGGAAGTTTTCAAGTCTAAATACAAAAACTAGAAAATATTTCAAGAAAGAAATAATGCGAAAAGAAGCGAGAAATCGACAACACTTCCGACCATCTGTTGATTTGAATTTCTCAGCAGCGCTAAAGATCAAATGATGGATAAACTTCAGTAATTCTGATAGTCTTAATCGTAGGTGAATCATATCGAAAGTTCATTTTTAACTCTTAAAGATTGCTTAGCAGCTTCTCGTCTCACAATATATGTGAGATGAAATCTACTGAATCACAATTTTAAAGTCGATCTCGATGCATTGCTTCATAATACTCCCGAGATTTTTTACATAAATATTTGAAGAAAAAAATGTTTTTGAGTGAAATATGTGGAACAATTCATTTTATTTTTCATTACAGTATTTGGAATTACTAAAAAAGATATGTAAAATAGACTTTGGCTTGTATCGCATTATTACTTAAAGATATATAACACAGTAACAATTAATTTTTCTATTAATTTATGTCTACTTAATAAAACGTGATGAAACATATCGATCATATCCTATTGTGAACTTAGATTCGTTTGAGTTGATTAGTTTGTTGGTTGGTTGGTTGATTGGTTCGTTGGTTGATCGGTTCGTTGTTGATTGCTTGGTTTGTTGGTTGATTGGGAACCTGACTGACTTTCCACTTCGAACCGGTCCTTTTATATCCCAGATATTTGTAAGGAGGAGCTTACAAAGAACGGAATTCCCATGCAAGGATAATGATATGGTTCACTAAAAAAATGGTAATTCACATGACAAGGAACACAATCGTGAGAAGAAACGGTTTTATAATCTGAAGACGGCTAAACATGATGGGAACGTTTAGATTAATTATTTGGAGCAAAAATAATTGAGATAAAGATTAAAGGGCGAATTAAGTTTGAGAATGTGAAAACTAACGGAAACATTACAAATGATGAATCATTAGGAAGAAATCTTTAGTATAATTACTTGGTTTGGCTGTGTGATAAATACTGGATTGAAATTAATTTCGAGAAGTTTCGAGTTTGTTCTCGACATATCCAGGATTCTCGTATATAGTCAAATTAGCTTAATTGCAGAGATATTAGATTAGAATAAAGTAAAGCTTTATCAATACATATGTTTCAAAGACCTTTTTATATTTATTTTCTTCCGTAATGTATATAATCTACTGTATTCTGTTCTAATATGATATGAATAAGTATCAGTTCTCTTTTCTGTTTAAAAATTGCGTTAAGTGCAGTAAATTGGAAATTTTGAAGATTTTGAAAGAATAAAATATATTTTTTCGGATTTGTAAGTTTATTTTTTTGCAGATTTCGAAATTTAAAAAAACTTCAGCAGTTAAAAAAAAACTTCACTAAATTACGATCTCTTCCTTTGTGAAATATGTCAACTTTTCTTCCCTTTATATTTTGAAATTTTTTCGCTTAAAATTTTTATGTGACAGAGCTACACATGAAAATTTTAAGCGAAAGTTTAATATAAAATGGTATTGTGCACAAATTCAAGAGTTTCGAATTTATCGCTTTTATAAATCGCAGTAGCCATCGATTGAAATTTTTTTTGCAATACCGCAGTTTGACAAAAACAATTTAAGGAATATTTACGAAGCAGTTGAAAAACTGAAATAAAATTGGCCAAATAAAAAATTTTGGTTTCATGTTAAAATTATTACTCATCGCTAATTACTAGTAATATCATCGATGATTTCCAAATTAAATGATTATTAAATCTATTGGTAATAATTCGGCAAGTTGTTTAAAAGTTACTGCCGGATTAATTTTAATTAACTTTGAATGACTTACAATAATTGCGTTATGATGGCTTTGACGTTTTGTAAAAATTTCTTTTATAAATTTTTCTTCATAACTTTTAACGTCGCCAATTCAAATCATATTTCATTCACTCATAAGACTGACCATACATATTTCATCTAAATTTTTCGATGTTGCATCAAACAAAATATTTCAAAGTTAACTTATCGAAAATTTTAACTTAATAAATAACAATCATATCACTATGCTTAAGTTGCAACTAGTGATCGATCATGATTTTCTAAATTTTTCAATAATTAATAATGCAAATTTCATCTTATTTATGCTATAAAAGATAACGGTTAATTACATTCCATCTTTAGCATTGATAAGTTTTTTGAATAACTAATGTTGTAATCGGAATTTGCTCTGGCTGAAGAAGGGTATTGTGGCAAAAGCGCTTGAATTAACCATCATCTTATAACTTTATTTACTATTTCGAAATTATTTGGAAGAAGAAAAAATATCAAGCAAGCAATCATAGATTGCACTTACTGGTTTATATACAAATAGAATTGAACAATTGTTCTATTAATATAAAATTTTATTATATAACAAAATTTTTTGTCATTTAATTAAATGTGCATTTTATTAACAATATTCTCTTAACAGTTTTGTGAATTACATTTCTCTTTTATTTGATTTGATGTAAATTTGATTATAATTTAAATTGTTGAAATCCTGCTTTTACATTCATATGTGGAGCTAATAAAGCAAATGTTCTTGAAATTGTGCAAACTGAAAATATTATCACGTCTTATCATTCTGAACATTAGAAACAAATTTTCACCAAATCAATATTTTCAAAAATTCAACAGCTGAAAAATTATGCTCTTTAAAAGTGAAAGAAAAAATATTAAAGATAATTATCTAAATCTGTCAATTTATTAAACAATTCTTTTTGTTAAATTTTGAAGTAAGTTATGCGTCTTATGCGTAGTGAAATTTTTCATATTATATTTCGTAAAACTTTTTATTTGCCTAAAGTAATTATCTAACATTTTACTAAATTTGTATCATTTGTTGTATTTAGTCATTCTCCTAAAATCCTGAACACAAATACATGAAAAGTTAAAATGATTCGCATTTCAAATTGATAAATTATGCTCTTAAGGTCGTTTTTGTTTCAGTTTAATCAGTTTATATATTGTCATTTTATAAGGTAATTTATTATCTTTTTCTCTTACCTTTTAAATACTGCAAATAACATTTAAAAAAGAAACAAAAAAATTTAGATTTTCTGCTTAATCATACTCACCACTTATTAATTATTTAAAAAAAAAGTTTGGCATGAATGCATAGGTGTTGGAAATTTCATTTTCCTTTTGTAGTATTATAAAATATGTTGTAAATAAAATAAATAGAAAATCTTTTTTTCTTTTAACAAATAACTAGCTGTTTTTTAGCTAATCTTTTATTAAATTTAGGGAATTTCTTTAAATAATAATCCATAACCTATGTTTTTATCAATGTTATCTATAAATTATATAAGTATACAAGTATTGCACATCAATCACATTGATAAAAAGGAAATCTGTTGCTTACAAGAAATTTGCATCCAAATTTAAGTACTGCAATTTAAAATTTACATTATTGAATGGCTACGAAAGAAAAGAAGGGATGATAAGTATGTATGCAAAAAGCTAATTGATTTCAAATAAATTTTAAGAGAGGATAAGAAGAATGATGAAATAGATGAATGAAATACTATAAGGATGATAGTTTTAATGGTACTGAAATGAAAGTATTAGAAAGTTGAAGAACGCCACTT